TTTTATCAAGAAGGGGTGCTGGATTTTATCAAAAGCTTTTCTGCATCTAATGATATGATCATGTGGTTTTTGTTTTGACATCTGTTGATGTATTTAATTACATTTATGGTTTTACGAATGTTAAACCAGCCTTGCATGCCAGGAATGAAGCCTAGGATTTATTTTATTGAAAAATGTTTTTAATCCTCACAAGCCCCAGAAAAGGGTGGGAGGAGGGTGGGGTAGGAGAGGAGTGAGGGATAAGAAATTATGTAATGGGTACACTGTATTACTCGGGTGAAGGTTATATTAATAGCCCAGACTTCACCACCACAGCAATATATTCATGAAACAAAACTGCACTTGTACCCTTATAATGTACACTAATAAAAAAAAGTCATCATAAGGGTTATGTTTAATATGTTAATTTATTCTAAATAGAAACAAATGTTAAAGCCACAGCTATCAATACTATGGATCAGGGGTTTTCAGATATATTTTAAGAGGCACAAAAGCTGGAATTCATAATGCTCTTTATGGAACTCCATGAAATATTGATATATGGTAGACCCTTGGCACTCAAGAATTTAACATTCATGGTCTCAATTATTTATAAATGACCCCAAAAATCCATTACATGCAGTAATTTGTAAGTTTGCTGAGATATAAATTTGTACTGTGCCAATTACAAAGCTCATGAGCTAGACCAAGTCATTGAACTGGAAAGTGAGGAAACAGGAAAGTTGGAAGGTGCTCTTACTTGAAAGACGTAGAAGAATGAGAGCTCCATATTTCCTAAGCATTTCACATTGCTTATTTCTTAGATTAGATGAAAATGTGAAGGATTAAGTTTGGAAGGCTGGAGATTCACATTAGAGAGCCAGATCCTCTACAATATAAAAATACATGTTAGAGACCTCAAGGACCAAAGAGCAGCACAGAGCTAGTGGAAGGTGACCTTGGTGCTTGGAGGTGGCAGGAATGTACTATTAAGCCCATTAAAATAGTACAAAATTTTGCCCAATAAACTCTTCCCCTGCCCCTCAACCATCTGAAGCTTTAATGTACTACAAGGAACAGAATAAAGAACTTCTTCCATCCAATAGAAGATACAAGTTCAATGAAGTAATTTGTTGTTGTTTCCAAACTGTACCTGGCAAGAATGTCTGCGTTGATAAATTGCCTTAAAAGTCCTGCACCAATCCCATTAGCACTGACGTGCCAAAGAATAAAAAATTCTAACCTCCAGCTCTAACTCCCCTCCTAAGCTTCAAACTCATACATTCAACCACTAGCTGGACATTTCTTCCTCAAAGCACCTCAAACTTAAAATCTCAAAACTGACATTCTACTTCTGTATTCTCTACCAGTTTCTACCAATACAACTCACTCATTCATCCTCACCGGAAATGTGGAAGTATATTTTTCACTCCTTCTTTCCCTTTTTCCCTGAATCTAAGCAAGTCCCACAATTTTGTTTTGTAAATATTTTTATAAATCAAGGCCTTCTCACCATCCTTAAAGGCACTTCCCTAGCTCAGATTCTCTCAATATCCTGACTGTGTTAATGCCATAATCTCCTCCCTCATCAGTCTTTTATCCTGTCCTCTTGCAATCTCTTCTCTAGACAGTTTACAAGATTAACTCTTTGACTGGAAAGATTTTAAGTCCCCCCCTCTTTGAAGTGATCCTATAGCTAGCTTTACCCTCATCTCACACTGCTATCACTCTGGGATCTAGTAACTCGTGCTGACCAAAATAATTAAGTAGAAATTATATTACATCAATTCCAGTCCTGAGCCTTAAAAGATCTAGTAGCATCTACTTTCACCCTCTTGGGATCAGCTGTCAGGTAAAGACTAGACTACTGAATGATAAAGTGGAGGGAGATAGGCACAGCCAGCCCCAGCCATTCACTAGTCTTTCCTGAAGCACCATTCACATGAATTAAGCCATCTTGATGTTCCAGCCTTAGCTGAGCTCCCAGTAGACACCAAAAACTGGTCATAAAAGAACTGGCCAACTGAGCCTGGCCAACTCTTATAAGAAATATAAGAAATTATAAGAAATAATAAGTCATTGTTGGGTTAAGCCACTAAGCATTGAATAACTTGCTTCACAGCAACAGACAGCTGATAGACTTCATAATACTAGTTTGCTTAAGTTGTTTCAGTCAGGCTTTCTTCTGTCATCTACCACAGAGTTCTCCTTAGATTATGTAAAGGAAATACTCTTGCCTTAGTCTGTTTTGTACTGTATAACAAAATATCACAAATTGGGCAATTTGTAAATAACAGATGCATATTTTCTCATAGTTCTGGGATTGTGGAAATCTAAGACCATGGTGCCAGAATTTGGTGTGGGCCTTCTTACTGGGCCCTTATATTACATAGGAGAAGATGGAAGAATGAACATTGATGTCCTCACTCCTGTAAGTCTTTTTTTTTTTTTTTTTTTTGAGACAGCATCTTGCTCTGTCGCCCAGGCTGGAGTACAGTGGCATGATCATGGCTCAGTACAGCCTCAAACTCCTGGGCTCAAGTGATCCTCCTGCCTCAGGATCTCAAGTAAGCTCGAACTACAGGTGCACACCACTGCACCCAACTCCTCCAAGCCCTTTTTATAGCAGCATTTTAGCCATTCATGAGGGTGAAGTCCTCATGACAAACAACTTCCAATTAAGCTCCACCTCCCAATACTGTTGTATTGGGAATTAACTCTCAATATGGATTTTTGAAAGGGACAAGAACATTCAAACTGCAGCAGCCATCCTTTTCATTAAAGTTAATCAATTTGAGCACCATCATTTGCACTCCTGAATTCAACAGTTACATAACTGGTAAGGAGTTGCAGAAAGACATACAAGAACAGATGAAAAACATGGACTATTTCAGACAATTGCCTTCATGAAGATAAATTACTAAAGGCACAAAACTCTTGTACACAATCTAACGTGTATGGTGAAAAATCCTTTGTACTGCTAAGTTAGACAAGCAGTTAGGCAGAGATGAGTAAGTTAAAGAAGAGGCACTGGAGAGTGGTACTCATGAAGGAAAAAATGCCAGGAAATACCCCACAATCATTCACTCCAGGGCCACAACAGTCAACTTGTGGCCAAAAATATCCTGGGAAGAGGGACAAAAACAAAGAGGAAATTCCATGGGGTGTCCCAGGTGCCCTAAATACCAATTTGTCTGTTATATGACCTTCCTGGGATGTCAGGAATGAGCAACACCACCATTAGGTAGGATTCATGATCACCAGGCCCAAACATAGGTAAGAAACCCTCAGTTATATAACACCCCCGACCCTGGGCAGAGACAGTGCAAAATCAGGGAGGAGGCCTAGGAGAAGACCTAACAGAAGGAAGTTACAGAATACAAAAACAGCACACAAACGCCCCCAGGGCTGTTCCTAGCTGGGTCAGCCCATTCAATCTTCTTTTGGAGTATACGTTCTCTTGCCTAAATAAAGCTCCTTGCTCTGCTGCTTTGTCTCTTGGTTTAATTTCCTCTAAGAAGACAAGAACAGGGATATGGTGTTGAATTCCCAGGCCAGTAACAGTACCATTGAAAAGGCCTATATTTAAAGCCAAGGTTCCTAGCAATGTGATACTGGGCCTGTTTCCTCTGCGGCACTGAATAATAGTACATCAATAGCTTTCAGCTCTGAGGACACATTAACACTGAGAGAGTCTATTTAAGATATCACTGATGCCCAGTTCCCACAAACTAAATGAATCAGAATCTCACGAGTACAGTCTAATTGGAGGAGGGTAATTTCTGCCCCTTCCCTCTGCTGTTTTCCTTACTCTTCCCTAAGAGAATGTATCAATTTTTCCAAGTTAATTAACACAAATCCACTCTCAAACTGTTCTCAGTTTTTTGTAACTGGCAACCTCCAGCCATTAGACTAGGTAGGCAAGTCCAGCCTCTTGTTTTCTCTCTCACCTGCTCTGCACTATATCAAGCCCTTCACAACTAGCTACTCGTCAGTGTTAAGACTGAAACTGGGTAGGGATGGAAGGTGGGGTTTGGAAAGGCCCTGCTGGAGTCTTCAGTATCAGGCATGCTCTTGGGACCAGTTTTACCAGAGAGCCCTGCATAAAGGGGTTATAAAACCTTGAGCCTTGCTTTTCCTGTGCTAGGAGAGGTAAATCTCCCTCAGAAGCCCTATGGAAAGGAAGAACATTTGGCCAAGTGGAGCTCAGGCATTCCTGGAGCCTGGCTATACCACTCCCTTGGTGTCATCAAAACCTCACAAACACCTTGACTATCTTAGACCTACTGCTCCTCTCTATAATCCATCAGTTAAGGAGAAGTTTTTCTCATGATCATAAAATTTTATGAGTCAGAATAAACAGATTAAAACATGCATGAGATTTTTCTTTAAACCAAGTAATTTCTCATCTTGAAAAAAAGGCAAAGTCAATTAATACATCTACAGTTCAGAGAGTAGGGCATATGAGGGCTCAAAATGTACGTAACATGAGTTGTATTTTAATAAGTTTTTACAGCCACAATATACATGAGCAAGAAAATATTTTATTTTCATTTATTAAATCTGACCCCATAAGTAAGCAAAGGAATTCAGTCTATTGCGACTAGACCTCACTTGTCTAGCAAGAAGTGAGACTCCAGTGAGAAGCTGGTTCCACTCTGGAAGAGAAGGCCAGAGTGAGGGGAGGATATAAAAGGGCTGACCTCTGGAGTAGCTGCTAGCATTTCAATTATTTCAGTGTATACTCTTCTAAGATCAATCCTATTCCTCTGGCTTTCTCTGAGACTAAAAAGACAGGGACCCACAGAGTTCAGCCACTGGTCTATATATAAGGATCATGCAAACTTTCATCTTAAACCCCTCTCTCCAGAGAGGAAGTCTGCCTCAGCTTTCTGCCCTGGGGCCATCTCTCTCCTCTTCTCTCTTCTCTCTCTCTTACTAAATGCTTGCAATAAATAGTCCTCATTTTCTTTAAGTACCCAACAGAATGCATAATTCAGCCAAATCATTTTAGTGAGTTAGCAAAAATTGAAAAAAGGCACAGAAATATTCTAAGTTAGCCCACAAGGAAATCTGTAACAGGTTCTTAAAAACTATTTGCATTTCTATTCACACTAAGCAAGAAAAATGGTTACATGCAGTCTGAGAATGGTCAATGGAATTGGAAAACCCAGGTTTTCAGAATGGAGGTATAAAATTATGACCAGAGTCAAGTGGTCTCCACTTTTTTGGGAAAATTTCTAAATTTCATAGCTTTGTTTTCTACAAGGCAAAGGAATCTATATTAAAGATTAGTTTTAGTAAATCAAAAAAAAATGTGGGCTAGTTTTTATCTTCATAGACTCACTAATGAGAGCAGTTTTGGTTTCTCTTGCCGTGTACGGCATATAATTCATTTCTATTTAGAACACCTGACAAAGAAAAGCAACAAATAATACATTTTTTAAAATCACCTTGGAGGAAATGGTGGAGTCTTCTTGATCAGTATTTTTGCACTTTTTTCCTGTGTCTGGTTCTGCTGATGTACTTTCTGAACTTCCAACTGAAATTGATCGCTTTCTTCCTTGCTGTGTTATGTTTACTTGGGTTTTACCTCTGCAGATTCCTTCTTTTCCACTTCCCTGGAATATATTATTACCTTAAACACACACAAATACATACACATTCAAAAAGGAAAAAGAAAATTATCTTCTGCATCTTCAAATGTCAACAATCTATTAAAAAGATAAAAGATAAAAAGGCAAGTAAAACTAACGTTCCATTTATAGTAATGCCAACTTGAAAACATTATTTGCAAATCTCAGAAAGTATTAAGCAGCAAGTGACCAACAGCCCCAGCCCTTGGAGTCTGCTAGGTCAAGATGCCAATGTGGGTACCATTCCTTAATTGTTGCACCTCACCTCTCTGAACTCTGGTTTTGTCATCTGGAAAATAACTCATGGAGCTATGTAAATTGTCTAGCAAAGTGCTTGATATATGTCAAATATTTTTGTAATTGTAACATTGGATTTCTCTAGCAGAAAACCTGACACATAGCTATCCAATGAACTTTACATATGCTTAATTGAGCCCCTAACATCCACAGTGAGGAATTCAACTGAAGTTATCTTTAATACAGATAAGAACCCAAAATAACCCAAAAGGGAGACAGGCCTCTACAGACTTTGCTGACAAAGAAAATAAAGTCTCAATAACAATGGACATTGTTGGCCAGCATCAGTGGCTCAGCCTGTAATCCCAGCACTTTGGGAGGCTGAGGTGAGTGGATTGCCTGAGCCTGCAGGTTCGAGACCCACTTGGGCAACTTGGCAAGACCTCATCTCTACAATAAATCAAAAATTAGCCGGGCGTGGTAGCACGCATCTGTAGTTCCAGCTACTTGGAAGGTTGAGGCGGAAGGATTGCCGGAGCCCAGCAGGTTGAGGCAGCAGTGGCCAGGAGCAGCAACTGTACTCCAGTCTGGGTGACAGAGTGAGACTCCAACTCAAAAAAACAAATAAACAAACAAACAAAACCAATGGACATTGTATGCCATATAATACTTACCCAAAGTTTAATACAGTTGCAAACCTAAGTCACTATCATATTTTGTCAATAAATTCATGAATTGGCTAATCAAAAGAGAAAAAAGATCTACTTAAGAGGAAATTCTTCATGGCAATCCTCTGCTTTAGAATGATTAATTTCATGCAGGCAGAAACTTTATGTGCCTTGTTCACTGTTCCCCTCTTGTGTCTCCAGTACCAGCAACTACCCAGCACAAAATTGGTGCTCAGTATATATTTCTGACTAAACAAATTACGAACACAAGAACACCAACGGCATTAGTCCAAAGATTCCTTTAAAAGCCAGGATATAGGTAGGTAAAGCAATCTGTACTCATTGTTCTAACATTCTAAAGCAGGTGTTAGCAAACTTTTTCTGTAAAAAGACAGAGTAAATAGTTAAGCTCTGTGGGCTTACAATGTCTGTCAAAACTACCCAATTCTGCCTTTGTAGCATGAAGGCAGCCATAGTCAATACATGCGTATATGATCATAGCTGTGCTCCAATAAAACTTTATTTACAAAAACAGGCAGTGAGTCAAATTTGGTCCATGGGCTGCAGTTTGCTTAGACCAGGTCTACATTCAAGTGGTCCAAAATAATACTCCTTCTTTAAGTTCAGGAAAGAAATATCAATGGAATACTGTCCATATTATAAGACAGGAATAACAATTGAACCTTCATAAAAACAATGTATTTATCAAAAGAAACTTATAAATAAATGATCCCAATAACTAAACTTAGACTAAATTATTTAAATATTCATCATAAATCTAATTAGAAAGCATATTATATCATTTTTGGAAACTGTCAGAAATAAGACTTACATTAGACTTAATACTATATACCTCGGTGCAACAAATAACGAAATGCTACAACAGTTATGAATTAATCAAACCTAGTGAAATAATGAACTAATGGTATTGCTAAGAACTGTAAAGTGTGAATTAACCAAGACACAGCTTATGCTCAAATGGTAGTTTGCCATATTCCAAGTGTTACTCATGTACCTTAAATTCTAAAATGTATATGTACAATATATGGACATATACAAACACATGTACATAACATTCAATTCCTCAAAATTTTAATTTCTCTACTACAAACATTCCCTCTAGGGACCAGAACCAACTACAAACATTCCCTCTAAGAACCAGAACTAATTTCTTTTTGCATGGGAAGAAGCCATTTTCATAGTGTTAAAATGCTCTCACAAAGAGTGTATACATACTTTAATTGGCACACAACAATCTTTATATCTGGTATAGCTAATATTTTTCTAAATCTAGGAGAGGTACCATTAAATGCCAGAAATATAAAAGAAATTAACTATTAATACAAATCAGGTTATTTCATTTCTAATTATCACTAATAGCACTTACATGAGCTGCTACACTAATACTATATGAATGATAACTCAGCTATATGTATATATAGCATTAAAATACATCCATCCAATCTTATCATTCAGAGGAACTATTTCTAACAGCTATGTTAACAATTTGATGTGTATCCTTCTCAATTTTTTCTTAAGTTTAAAGAAAATATGTTTACAAATACATAGATATAAACACATATAGGACTGAAAGTACAAATGCTATTGTTTCAGGAAGATAAATACCTAGAAATGTAATTTCTGGATCAAAGTGTGTTGTACACTAAAAATTTAAGAGGTACCGGCTTTAAAAGGCTATACTAATTTATACTTCCACCAACAATGTTTAATAATGTTAATTTCTGCCAGCACTGAATATTATCAACTGCTTACATTTTGATGAGTTAATGAACAACAAAAAATGGAAACTGGTAGTTTCCATTTTCCTATCTGACCGCAAAGTTACATATGTATTGACTATTTGCATTTATTCTTCCATAGTATATTACATACAATGTACAAAATTTCTGAATTTTATCTTGCTATTAAGAAGACAATTTTTTTAAGACGTCTATCTTTTATAAGTGTGGCCGACAATATAACTCAGTATATTGTTTGCCAGTATTTTATTTGCATTTGACTTTACAATGTCTTTTGCGTAAATATTTTTCGCTTTTATTTAGATACATCTGTCAGTTTTTTCTCTTGTGGTTCTAGGCTCCCCTTCATTTTAACAAAGCCTACAGAAGTAATACAAATATTTTCTCCATGTTTTCTTCAAATGCCTTGATAGTTTTAATTTTTATATTAATATTATTAATTCAATAGAAACTTTATTCTGAATATAAGTAATGTGCTAATATTATTTTCTTCCAAATAAGAGCCAATTTTCCTAACATCATTTATTTAATAATATATTTTTTCCATCAATGTGAACTGATAATTTTTTATAAGTTAAATATGCTTTTTGATCTGTTTCTGGGTGTTTCATTCTCTTTTTATTCATCTAAGTTACCTTTTCCTATGCCAGAACTATCAACTACTAAAAGCAGGCACCAGGCTCAGATTGCAATCTAGGAGAGTTAGGAGAGTTCCATAAAGAACACATTTTTTTTCTGTTATTCAGATCGTCCCTGATAACATATGGAAAACCTCTCAATTCATTTTATACAAAGTTGACAAAGTTCTAACATTAAAATCTTACATATATGGCACACTGACTACTAACCATACTTAAAGATATAGATGTCCTAAATCAAATATTAACAAATCTAATATAACAGTACAGTAAGTCTCCTACACACAGAACTCTTACGAAGCAAACTTTCAAAGATGCTAATGTATGTTCGCATGTCCAATCACATAAGTTAGCTCACACGTCTGACATACACTGTCACATGCATGCATCCTCTACAAGTGGTTGTGCTTTTTTGTACTTTACTGTACAGTACTGGATCAAAGTGTGTATCTTTATTTCAAAACAATGATATCTGGAAGCAAGCATAAAAGCAGTGGAGATGTAACCTGTACTGCTAAGAAGCGCCAAGTGATAACAATGGAAACAAAAGTGAAAATAACTAAGAGTAGAGCAAAGCAAAAAGATGGCAGATGTCACTTGTTCTTATAATCATTCAACCATCAGCACAATTCTAAAGAGCCAGGACAAGATCATGCAACATGTGAAGTCTGCTGTGCCGATGATGTTGACAATAACAAAGAAAAAGCGTGGAAAAGTGGTGGAGAAGCTTCTCAGTGTGTAGATGCAGAATCAGCATCAGCATCAAGTCCCACACAGCTTAATGCTGATTCAAGAGAAAGCTAAAAGCCTTTACAAAGACTTGAAGAAGAAACACGGCGAAGAATCAGAGGACACATCTTTTAATGCCAGTCATGGCTGGTTTCATCGGTTCAAAGCTAGAGCCAAACTCCACAACATAAAAGTGGGAGCAGATATGGTAGCTGCCAGGGAATTTCCTGAAATGCTTTGAGAAATTACTGAGGAAGGCACATATTTACTCAAGCAGGCTTTTAATGTAGTTGAGACAGGACTGTGCTGAAAGAGGATGCTAGGCCAAAGCTACATCAGTAAGAACCTGATGCCAGGTTATAAAGCAGCTAATAGGCTAATTCTGTTGTTTGGTGGCAATGTTTCCAGTGATGTGAAGCTGAAGCCTTTCTTAGTTTATCATTCAGAGAATCCAAGAGGTGAAAAACTTAGACAGCCAAGGTCTTTCTTCCTGTTGTGTGAAAAAGTAACCCCAAAGCCTGGGTTACACAGGTCATTTTCCAGGACTGGTTTTTCTGCCACTTTATCTCAGAGGTAGAAAATATTGCTTGGAGAAGGACACCACATCAACATTCTTTTGCTGTTTAACAATGATCTGGGGCGGCAAGATGGCGACAGGGCAACCCGGTGTCTGAAGCCCTCTGCAAGGGAGATCTGCAGTGGGTCTCTGACTCTCGCCCCGGGGGGCTGGGGACCCCAACATCGCAGCCTG